CTTTGATCTTACGATTTCAGTCTTTGTTTTCTTATTATTTCCATTTGCTTGGTATATCTTTGCCCGTTTCTCTACTTAGAAATAACTGAAAGTTTGTTATGTTCTGTCTCTAGTAATCTGAAGGCCTAGGTCATGTGTGGTTTTATTTGTGTTGATAAATTTATGTTTTTTGGTGGGCAGGATGTGTGGAGAGATTCGGATTCAGGTGCTGCCATTATCCTCCAAACCAAGAATCTGATCTTCTTATTGTAGTATAAATAAATCTCCGCTCTAGAGAAGCATATTTTCTCTTTAGAATTACTGAGTTCAGATAGCTTATGCAGCTTCCGATAGGTGGCTTCAAGTGTACTTGAGCTCCATTTAAACTTTTCTTGTTCCTCTCATCTGTAAAATGGGGTGTTCCTTTCAACTCCAGATTTTTCTGATTCTGTGATTTATATTTATATACATTTGATGATTACAGCCTAAAATACCTAGCCTTTCTTTGTATCTGATCATGATAGTGACATGTACTCAATACAACCTTGGCCTTTACTTGGATATTAGAGGCCAGTGCCATTGGATGTAGTCTTTACTGTGGTAATTTGATTTTTTAGTTGTCTGTATTCAAGTAACAAGGTGACATTCTTAGCATATTTATTTTATGCATATAAAAGTTCATCCTTTGGCTAATGACTGAATGAGTTACTGAAATAAGGTTGGTGGTTTGAACCCACATAGAGGCACCTTGGAAGACAGGCTTGGTGATCTGCTTCTGAAAGGTCTCAGCCTTGAAATCCCTAAGGAGCAGTTCTACTCTGTTGCCATGAGCTGGAATAGACTTAGCAGGCTCATTTCCAGTGGTTAATAGCCACGTATGACTAGTGGTGCCAAATTTGACAGTGTTAGGACATTCCCATCTTAGCAGAAAGTTGTATTGCACAGCTCTGATCTAGATCGTACTGTCAAGGAGAACACTTTATACACTATGTAATATAGCTAATGTAATATAGCTAATGTGGTATTCATAGGAAAATTGAAAGCCTTTAATAACATTATTGATAAAATAAGAAGACCAAGTTAACTAAGTACCCAATTTAAGAAATTAGAAAAACTAGAAAATAAACCAAAAGGAAGATAAAGGAATTAATAAAAATAAAATGCTGACGATGAGATAGAAATAAAACAAAACGTAGAAATACCAAAATTGATTAAGAAGAAGTAGAGATTCTGAATAGGCTGTGTAACTGTTGGAAAAGAAAATTTAAAAAATTGTTAGTCACTGTACCCAGATGATATTCCAGCTGAATTATATTTACCCTTTAAATAAATAGATTGTATTTTTGTTGTTTATTGCATATAAATGATGGAAATATCTTTAATTCATTTTTTGATTTTTTTTGAAGCTAGTTGGCAGCGTGGTTAAGAGCTCAGCTGCTAACCAAAAGATGGGCAGTTCGAATCCACCAGCCACTCCTTGGAAACCCTATGGGGCAGTTCTGCTCTGTCCTGTAGGGTCCCTATGAGTTGGAATTGACTTGACGGCAACACGGGTTTTGTTCAGTGTGATCTTGTTACAAAAAAAAAAAAGACCAGCTTTACTTATGAATATAGATGCAAAAATTCTAAATGAGCTAGTGGTTTATTTAAACCCATACTGTTAGAAGAATAGCATTTTCTTGGAATGCAAAGATGGTTCACAATAGGAAACCTATCAACATAATTCACTGCATCGAAAGATTAAAGGAGAAAAGCCATGTGATTTTATTAGTAGATGCTGAAAAAGGCGTTTGACAGAATGATTAAAAGTGTGGTTAAGAATTATGGTGGAAACTACTCACTGCTCCAGTCATGGCAATAGTAGTAGCATCTGCCACAGAGGGTTGTTGTGAGAAGTTGATGACTTAATACGTGTAGAAGCACTTGGAACAATGTCTAGCACATAGCAATTCTGCAGTGTTAGCTATTATTATTATTTAAACGATGAAGTTGATTTTCAAAAAGATAGCAGATATTCATTGAATGGCAACACTTTTTGATTGAAATTATGAACAAGGAAGTTGTATATTCTTAGCACTGTGTTCAGCATTATATTTTGAAGTTGTTTCATTTCTCTAAATGCACTAAGAATAGAAAATGAAATACCTGACATAAATACCAGAAGAGGAGATAAAATATTTTAAATTACAGGTCATATGATCGTTGCTGTTGTTAGTTGCCGTTAAGTCAGTTCCGATGCCTGCTGACCTGATGTATAACAGAATGAAATGTTGCCCCGTCCTGCACTATGTTTGTTATCTTTGAGTCCATTGTTGTGGCTCTTGTGTCAGTCCATCTCACTGAGAGTTTCCCTCATTTTTGCTGATCCTCTGCTTTACCCTCTATGAGATAAATTGACACAGTGGCTGCAGCAATGGGCTGAAACAGCAATGATTGTGAGGATGACACAGGACTGGACACTGTTTTGTTTTATTGTACATAGGGTCGCTATGAGCTGGAACTGGCTTGACGGCACCTAACAACAACTCCTTTACCAAACATGGTTTTCTAAGAATTGGTCTTTGCTGATGATGTATTCGAAGGAAGCAAGAAGTTTCATTATCCTCACTTCTAAGGAGCATTCAGTTTTATTCCATAGAAAATGTTATAAATTACAAATTATATGATTATATTCCTAGAAAACCTAAGAGACTACTAAAAACCTGTTAAAGTTAGTGCATATATTGGATAAGATGAATATAAAATAAATATAGAAACTGAATAATTTTTCATTGTTGCAATAACCAGTTAGAAATAGAAAAAGGAAAAAAAAATCGTAACAAATATTCAAAGATAAATTCAACAAAATAGTTCTTTACCAACACAAAGAAAATGATTTTATCTTTTAATAAAAATTTAAGGTAAATCATACCAGGTCTCAATAAAAATGTCAACCTACCCAAAGTGACCCACAGATTCAATACAGTTTCTATCAAAATTGTAGCAGCTTTTCTTGCAGAAATGGAAAAGTTGATCTTCAAATTATATTTGTGGGGGAAGGGGCCCTGAATAGGCAAAACAATCTTAGAAAGAAGGACAAAGTAGGAAGACTCATATTTCCTGATTTCAGAACGTACTATAAAGCTGTAGTAATCAAAACAATGTGGTATTGGTGTAAGAATAAATATATAGACCAGTGGAAAAGAATCGAGAGTCCAGTAAGAAGCTCATACATTTATGGTCAATTGACTTTCAACAAGAGTGCCAAGTCCATTCAATGGGAAAGAGTAATCTCTTCAAAATGGTGCTGAAACAACTTCACATAATTTGTGACATTTACTCAACATAGATTAAAGACGTAAGTGTAAGAACTAAAACCATAAAACTCATGGAAGAAAAAACGGGTAAAGCTTCAAGACCTTGTTTTTGACAGTGAATTCTTAGATATGACACCAAAAGCATGATCAACAGAAGAAAAAAACAGATAAATTGGAGATCATCAAAATTCAAACTTTTTATGGATCAAAGACTTTATCAGCAAAGTTAAGAGACAACCTACAGAACAAGAGAAAATATTTGGGAGCCATATATCTGATAAGGACGTAATATCTAGAATATATAAAGAACTCCTACAACTGAACAACAAGAAGACTAAACCCAGTTAAAATATGGGTAGGGTCTTGAATAGACATGCCTCCAAAGAAGATAGACTCAAAGTCATTAGTTATCAAGGAAATACAAATCAAAACCACAATTAGATATCATGTCACATCTACTGGGATGGCTAGTAACAGAAAAATGAAAAATAACAGGTGTTGGGGAGAATAAGGAGAAATCCATTTGTGGTGGGATTGTAAAATGGTGCAGCTGGTGTGGTAAACAGTTGGGTGTTTCCTCAAAAAGTTAAACACAGGTTTATAATATTACCTAGCAATTCCATTCCTAGGAGCATTTGAAAGAGACTCGAAACTTGTACACCAGTGTTCATTGCAGCATTATTCACAACAGCCAAAAAGTGGAAACAACTCAAGTGTCTATCAACAGATGAATGGATAAACTATATGTATATATCAGCATATATCCATACCGTGGAATATTATTCAGCCATAGAGAGAAATGGAAGTTCTGATACAGGCTACAACACGGATAAACCTTGAAAACATGTTGAGTGAAATAAGCGAGACACAAAAGGACAAAGATTGTATGATCCCACTTATATGAAGTAATCTAAAATAGGCAAATTCATGGAGACAAAAGTAGATCGTGGTTACCAGGGACTGGGGGGAGTGAGGAATGGGGAGTTATTGCTTAAGGGCTACAGAGTTTCTGTTAAGGGGATGAAAACTTTTGGAGGTAGGTAATGGTAATGGTTGTACAACACGGTAAACATAATGTCTCTGAATTGTACACTTAAAAATGGTTAAAATGGCAATTTTTTTGTTATATATATTTTACCACAATAAAATTTTTAAAATGCCAGCCTTTCTAAAATTAACATGACAATTTAATTCCAGTTAGAACCCTAGTGAGTTATTTTTGGAAATTAGATTTTAAAGTTCATATAGAAAATATAAGAATACCCAAGAAGATATACTGTGTAATTGATTCCACTTCTGTTAACAGTAACCTTCTACTCTCTCACCACAAAAATTAATTTGTATGGAGAAAGATGAGGAAGAAAGCAAACATGCCATTTTGGTGGCATTTTTCTCTTTAACCTCAGTGTAGATGGAAATGCATAGAGAATTGGCAGAGGGAGGGGGATCATGCACTATTTGTTGTATATCTTTTTATTGATTTACTTGTTATAAGAAATAGATACATATTTAGTTGATCTAGTATAGAAAATTTAATAGAAAAATATTTAGAGACTTTTCACTCATTAAAGTTGTATTCTTTTAATTAAAACTGAAATGTGTCTTAATTTAGCTGTCCTGAAAGTTTGGTTCTTTCTGTAAAGGTAAGATTAATTTTTAACTCAAATATTCTGAATTTTCTCTCTTTCTCTCTGTCTCTCTTTCTCTCCTGTTTCTGTCTCAAAGGTATGCAGCCACTCATGTATTCCGTTCAGGAAGCATTAAATGCCAGACCATGGTGGATTCGTGTGGGGACTGACATTTGTTACTATAAGTAAGTATAAGAGGACATTAGCTTTTCTTAAAAGGAAAGGCCTATAAGCAGGAATATTCACACCTATTCTTCCACCCATCCCTCAAGAACACCATCGTTTAGATTATACTATCTTAATTTTTCTCAGTGTTTTCAATTATATAAGGAAGATATTTCATTTTATTTCAGTACAAAGATAAAACAGTAGAATTATTACTGCATTTTTTGATTTGTGATGCTATAAGTTAGTATAAAGAGTAGTGTAGAATTTGAGTTCCATTCATGGAGTATATATACCAAAACCAAACCAAACCCATTGTTGTTGAATCTATTCTGACTCATAACAACCCTATAGGATAGAGTAGAACTGCCCCATAGGGTTTCCAAGGCTGTAATCTTGATGGAAGCAGACGTCACGTCTTTCTCCTGCAGAGTGGCTGGTGGGTTCGAACCTCCAACCTAACGGTTAGCAGCAGAGTGCTTAGCCACTGCACCATCAAGGCTTCTTTGGGAATAGATAGTGGAAATAAAGTGTGTTTTGTCAATAGGTGGACTTAGGCTGAAGTCTTGTCTTCACCACTTAGACAGCTATATATCCTTAGCTTTTTCAGCTTTGTTGTTGTTAGTTGCTGTTGAGGCGATTCCGACTCATGGTGACCCCATGTGTGCAGAGAAGAACTACTCCATAGGGTTTTCAAGGCTGTGACCTTTCAGAAGCAGATCACCAAGGTGCCTCTGGATGGGTTCGAATTGCCAGCCTTTTGGATAGTAGTCAAGCACTTAACCATTTGCAACACCCGCAGACTCTCTTCAGTTTTAAAACTCTTGAAATGCCATTGAGTAAAGCTGAAATGAGAAATTCTAGGAAATAACTTGCAGTGGTGTTGTGTTGTTGCTATGATATTAAAGTATAATTCTTTTCTCTTTTTGTATTCACACAGGAATATTTACCTCATCTTAATTTCTGAAGTATTTTAACTGAGATGTTTCCCACAGTTACATTATATCATTTCATACAGTTTAACTTTGATGTCAAATAGGTAGTGTACTTAGTAATAAAGGCTAAAAATCATTTACTATTTCTGCGGAGAAATTGGATTATTCTTCAACTCTACTTCTGAGTAATCTAGGATTATTACATATACCTTACTTCCCATTTTTACTCTATTTCTGCATATAATGTTTCCAGATAACTTTCACTATTGAATCTGCTTGGCATCTTTGCTTCTCCTCTGTTGTCAATCTCAGTCCTGACATTTTTATACAGTAGATTTTGACTTATATTGTGTTTAGCACTAATGTCCCTTAAAAAAAAAAAAAAAAAAAAAAAATCTTATCAGTCAGAAGAGACTATTTCTAAAATTAAAGCGTTTTAACAGTTTATGACATGGGCTTTTGAAGAACCGTGCTCTTAAGCATTATTACTTTCTGGGAAAGAAAATGTTCCTTTGACTTTATCTCAGTAGGATTCCCCTCCCCCTACTTTTATTAGCAAAGTGAACAGTAAATAAATGAGAAGCAGAAATACAAGGTAATTTGTAATTGGTCTGCATCTGAATAAATTTCATATTTCTTTAATGGTAGGATGTAATAAAAAATACGTTGTTTATTTTCATTTATGTAGGACCTGAAGAATACATGAGAAACAAGGATTAAATTATATCTGTCAGCTATTCTGTCCTAAGCTTTTAAAAATATTTTAATTATGGTTGTTGATGGCTGGCCCATCTTCAAGACTCACTGTCCCATTGCCTTAAAAGGAAAGGCCTATAGCCTGGAATGTACCCACCTATTCTTCCACCCATCCCTCAAGAACACCATCTTTTAGATTATACTACCTTAATTTTTCTCAGTGTTTTCAATTATGTAAGGAAGTGCTTATGCTCTAATGTTAAATGAAAAAATAATGAGTTTTCTAAATTGTATATGTAGATAGACATATATTGGAGACATATAATAAAAGAATGAGAATAAAATATGCCAAAATATTTTTGTTGTTGATTTGTGACTTAGGAGACCACATGTGTTATAGAGTAGAACTGCTCCATAGGGTTTTCTTGGCTGTAATCTTAATGGAAGCAGACCGCCAGGCCCGTTTTTTTGGTGGTCCTGCTGGTGGGTTCAAACTGCCAACCTCTTGGTTACCAGCTGAGTGCAAATCCCTTACATGCCACCCCAAGTCCTTTCAAAATTGTTAACAGTGGCAGATTTCCCTTGAGTAAGGAAATTGGTTTTTTAAAATTATTTATTCTTTTTTATTTTTTTCTAAATTTTCCATAATGTGCATAGAAACATTCACAATTTATTCCTTTGAGACTAAAACAAATAACAAGTAATAAGATTCTGTCACATATTAAATATTCTGAAAATCTAAGGTGTGAGTAATTTGTAGATATGTTTCAGAGGGCAAGAAGAACAAACTAGCAGTCTGGGAATATACTCTCTAACTGATAATTTTCCTACCAAACCATAGCTAGTCTTTGAAATGTCTTTGAGGTAACCTACATACAAATTCCACTGGAGTTGTACAAAAAGAGACTCAATTGGATTATTAGACTTAGGTCTAGAAAAAAGATAACGGCAAATTGGGGGAGGCTATAAACTATGTACATTTTATTCTGCAGTTTATTCTTTTTGGTATTTTTGACACAGTACTGTTGAACCCGGTTAAAACTACCTTGCAACGTTTTGTACTGCGTATACCCACCCATTCTTGAAGTTTGTCTCAAGTGTTTTTGCCCTTTTTTCTTCTGAGATTCTTTACTGTGGCGCGGGTGGCAGGTGACCTCCACAGGAGGCTCTAGCAGTGTCTGTGTAAGTGGCCGAGATCATGGCTACGTGACTGATTTCAGAGAAGGAGACTCATCACTGGCTTTCATGATATTGCACTTGGGTGGTTTGTCTGATAAACTTCTTCCAGTTTTTCTGCCTCTCTTTTAAATTCATTGTAAAGACACTTTATTGAGGATGTTCCCCAAGTCCTTGATGTCATTTTGTTCTTTGATCATTTGTCTTTCACAAAGTTGGAGTGAAGCAGTGATGATCTGGACAGTGCTTGGCTGGCTAAGCTTTGGCGAAATTATTTAGACTATAAAAGCATGAAACAATGTTTTTCAAAAAATATTTTTCCCATGCGTTTTACACAATAGAAGTCACCAATCAATGAAGGCTTTTTCTTTTTCACATTACAAATTGAATGACCGGAGCATGACAGGTGGTGGTTCTAGTCTGTGTAAGGAGTGATGGCAAGGTTTTTTGTTTGTTTAGTTTTTTCTTTTGGCTACTTCCAATTCAACGAACATTTATTAGCCACTTTCTATGTAATGGAACTCTGGTGGTACAGTGGTTAAGAGCTCGACTGTTAACAGAAAGGTCGGCAGTTCGAACCCACCAGCTGCTCCTTGGAAGCCCTATGGGGCAGTGCTGTTCTGTCCTATAGGGTTGCTATGAGTTGGAGTCGACTCCATGGCAATGGGTTTGGCTTGGGTAGTTCTGTGTAACAGGCCCTGTTCTAGTTGCTTTCCTGAAGCCTGACATCCAGATAGTGAAGGTTATAATCTACTATCTTCATTGTTTCTTAACTTTCCGTGTCAGCTAAATCCTCTGATGCTTGTTTTTCTTATCTGTAAAATGGGAATAAAACTACCTTCCACCAATATATGAAATAAAATGTGTATTTTACTGGTTTCTAACCTGTAAAGAAGCACATAGTTATAATGTGGTGTATAAATACCTCTCTGATTCGGTGATAAACTTTTGGGGGAGAAGAGTTGACAGGAACTAGTTCATGAACTTATTTTATATTTCCGCCAGTTCTTAGCACTTTGTCATTGAGTATGTATTCAAGATATAATGGCTAAATTAATGAAGACAAAATTTGATCATACTGTGAATATTTATGTGGGTAAATAAATAGCCTATAGTCCCTGGTTTTTCTTCATTTCATGGCTTTAGTAATACAAGATGATATGTGTCATCATGTTGGTGATATTCAAAATCTGGAAAGTAACATGTAGTTTTTAAAACTGTTTATTATGAAAATTTTAGAATATTACAAAAGCAGAGAATAAGATTTGAGAGCCCTTGTATTTTCACCCAGTTTCAACAGTTATCAACACGTGGTTAGTTTTGTTTACTTGTGCTTTCACCCCTACCTCCATACTGAACTTTGAAAAGCAATTTTTAGACATATACTTTATCCATAAATACTTAAGTGTGTGTCTGTTTTTAAGGAAATCCAACCACAATACCATTATCACAACTAAGAAAAATTAAGAAAATTCCTTAATACAATGAACTATCCAGTCAATTTTCAGACTTCCCCAGTTGTCTCATTGATGTTTTATAGTTGATTTGTTCCAATTAGAACCCAACCAGTTCTACACATTGCATTTAATTTTGATTGATAGGTCTCTCAAGTTTCTTTTCATTTACGGGCTTCCTTTTTTTCTGTTTTTCTTTCCCATTTATTTATTCAAGAAACTGGATCATTTGTCATGTAGGATTTTTCACATTTAGGTTTTGCTGATTGCATTCCTGTGGTGTTAACTATTTCTTTTCTCCTATTTCCTATAAACTAGTAATTAGATCCAGAAGCATGGTCAACTTCAGGTTTGATTTTTGACAAGAATACTTCATAGGTGGTGCTGTGAAACCATGATAAGATAAGCATCGTGTCTGCTTATTGTTCTTTTTATAATATTGATTGATAAATCGCTTCAGGTATTGTCACCAGATCCATGTATTATAAAGATGTCCCTCAGCATTTCTTCCAGTGATGATCATTCATGATCATTGCCTAGATCCAGTAATGTGTTTGGATGTCAAATAATGGGGTTCTAAAAATTATATTGATGTGTAAAGTATTAGCTTTATTTAATTAGTAAATCAGAAGTGAAAAATAATATTGTTGGCTGATAGCCATTAATTGCTTTATTAGTACCAAGTCTGTTTTTATAGGATGCTTAGCATTAAAGTTTTTATGGACTGTGGCTTTTCTTTTTTCCTTAAGGTCTGTTTAATAAAAATAGAAAGAAAAATCAGACTTTTTGTATGGATGGAATAAACATATTTTATACTTTTTTATTGCAGAAATCACTTCTCAAGAAGTTCAGTTGCTGCTGGTGGGCAGAAGGGAAAGTCTTACTATACAATTACATTCACAGTCAGTTTTCCACATAAAGATGATGTTTGCTACTTTGCTTATCACTATCCATATACGTATTCAACTTTGCAGGTGAGAACTCATTTAATTGAATTATAACAATTATTATGTCATATGCGTATATCTGATAATTGAAGAAAAATTATTTTTAATTAAATAATAAGAAAAATGTTTATAGTGTTGAAGAATTTAGAAAATACTACAAGATTTGTTGAAAACATTAAAGGGAGTACAGTGGGAATGTGGTCCTGATTTTTAGTTACTGGAGAGAAATTTTAAAGAAATGTGACATGAATTTTGCTTTTCATCTTTTTGTAGATATCTTTAATTCTTTAAGATTCCATGATTTACTGATTTTAACTGTGTTTAACTATGTTTAACCAAAAGCACTGAATCTTAAGAAAATCAAAGAATAGAAAAATGTGGGTATATTTTGACTTTTTCTATTGGAAATTCATTTCTTCTGTTGGTTGCATTATAGAGCCCTAGATCCAAATTTTTTAGAATATGGGGTATAAAATTTGTTCTGTGGGTTCTTTTTGAGATTGGTTGAATATTTACATTGTAAAACAAAACAGTACAACTGTTGGTTAATCCAAGTAATTAAATTACCAACCATGGTAGATTTATTGTCAGAATGGAATGTCTTCACTGTCCTAATGGTCAAGGATCATGAAGATGTGATCAATTTACCAAGAAAGAGATCGGAGAACTGCTATGATTGGAAACAAGCTTCCAAATTATTAGGGAGGGAGAAAATGAAAGAGAAACATAGTCCTTAGAGCGGAAGAGATGTCAAGGCTGAGAACACTAAATGGGGCAGAGGATCATTTTATTTTAATTAAGGTTAAAACCTATAGAGTAGGTATAATATTAAGGTAGATTTCTGTGCTGAATAACACAGCATCAGAAAATATACTCACTGACTTAGTCATCCTAGGAAAATAATTGTAGACGTATATAAAAGTATATCTTCAAGGTCGTTACTTGCATGGTGATATATAATTGTTCCTTACTGATCTTACTTTCTAAATATATTTTGAATTCTCCTACTTACTTTCAATCTTACTACCATACTGCCTTTTCCAGGCTACCATTGTTTCTCACCTGGGCTTCTGCCAACCTCTTTCTGACTGGTGTCCTAGGATTCACTTTTACCCATTTCCTCTACTTCAGTCTTTTTTCCCTACTGCAGTCACAGAAGTCTTCAGTGACAGATACAGTCATATAAACCCTCTGCTTAGTGGCCTCTCTTGCCCTTTGCATGAAATCTAAAATCACATGGTTCATTTAGTCCTTTTTCTACTATTTTTTCACAATATCTACATACCATTGCCATATCCACATACTGTTTTAATGATTATTTAATATTTCTCTTTAAGTAGACTTTAATTCACTCTTTAAAATTTATCCTTATTCTAAATTAATATTTTTGGAAATTTTTTTTTAATTCACAGTTAAATACATACCTATTAAAAATTTTTAAAATGTTATCCATGTACCACTTAGTTATCTCAAATACCAGAAGTATGTTTTGCATGCTTTGGGAAAGACTGGTCTGCCAGGCCCCTTATTCTGTTTCAGATTCTCTGTTTCTCACTGTTGTTCCTTCTAGCCTAGCTGTAATGAACCTCACTCAGTTCTCTCAAATGCCCCAGATGCTTCCTTAACTCATAGTCTGCTACACACTTTTTCTCTACTTGCCAGCACTCTTTTCTGTCCTTTCCACTTATCCATAAACTCTTAGTTTAAATCTCATTTTTTTTTACGAGACCTTTCCTAACTGCCCAGATTACACGCAGGTTCCCCTCTCCATTTATTCAGTGCCCTATCCCACAGCTTCTGGCTGATAGTGACCTCTCAGTAAATAGTTGGTATGAGAATGGACATAGGCAAACATTTGGAAGCCAACTAAGTATCGTAAAATAAGGAATTGGGCGATTTATTTTGGGTTTAACTGTAAAATAAAAGCATTAAAAGTTGCTTTTTCTTTGGAAAAAAACACATTAAATGTGTTTAAAGATATGGTATAATATTCATCATTATGAATATATGTGTGTATGTGTATAAATTGCTAAGTGATAAAAGCAGATTATAAAAAGTCTTACGTATAACTACAGTTTTGTTCATATACATTACATTTGTTGGTAGTAATCTAGGTGATGTGCAATTATGGGTGTTTAAAAATTTTTTTTGTACTTCGTATTTTCCAGACATTTTACATTTTACAATGAACCTGTATTAATCTTGAAATCAGGAAAAGAAGTTATTAAAAATATTTGTGCTACATGATTTGCTTTCTTCAATTTTAGATTGCCATTGCAAGTCTATAGTCACTTACCCACAATTCTAAACCCAAAAAGCTTTTTCATAACTTAATTTGGCAGCAAAGCCTGACTTGAACGGATGTGGGCGTATTTAGAGTCTTGGTTCCCCTTAGGACGACTCCTCAGGTGTTTTGCTGCAGCAGTAATAACGATAGCAGGATGCTGCCCTTGACCCTGCTGATGGTGTCACACAATTCATGGTATATGCACTGTATCACCTTTCTCAAATTCCCCAAATACTGACATTCGAAGTACACCTAGCCCTGAGGGTTTCAAATAAGGGATTATGAATCTGATCCACTTCTAGTTATGTGGAGATCTGGATGCATTATTTCTATATATCATAGGGAGGTTTTAAATGATTGTATACTTTGCTTTTAAATTTTTATCAAGATGCATCTTCAAAAATTGGAATCAGCACACAATCCTCAGCAAATCTATTTTCGAAAAGATGTGTTGTGTGAAACCCTGTCTGGAAACAGCTGTCCCTTGGTGACTATAACAGCAATGCCAGAGTCTAATTATTATGAACATATCTGTCAATTCAGTAAGTCTGTCTTCTTCACTCAAAATACCAGTAATTCTCACTTATTTTTCTTTTTTTCATATATATTTTATAATGGAAATAATACTAGGACTAGTAGGTATCAGAAGACTTGAATTCTAGTCTCCATCCTGTTACTGGCCAGCTCTGGACCTCAGTTTCCTCATTTCAGAAATGAGGGAGCTAGATCAGATGATCTCTGAGGTCCCTTTTGATAGTCATATTCCTTAATTCTTATGCTTAGAAATTATGCTCTGAGTATAATACAACATTGTTTTAAGAGCTCATGTAATACCATCAGTTTTTAAATTGACAAGTAATGTTATTTATAAATATAACATCCAGGAACCTATCAAATGTTTTGATAGCTAGTACTGAATAACTGCTTGTTTTCCCTGCCATTTATATTTTAAAAATTGCTTTAGATGTACAGCTATGACAGTAAAAATGATTAAACTGTTCTAGTTTTGGTAAGAAGTATTTTCAGGGAAAAGAAAGAGCTTGATATGCATGAAAATATGAGAGTGAGCTAAGTGGTTATTTTGTAGACATGCATGTTTCTTTGTAAATCTAACAGATACACTTTTTTTCTCTGTACTTAGCGTCTGTAAGACAGGGATAAGATTATATTTTCCTTCTTTTCCACATGGCTTAATAAAAAATAATTTTATGTTTAAAAATTCCCCAACTACTTGTTCTTTATAAAACCAAGACTGTATTAAAGAACTAATTTTACATGTTAGATTAATCATTGGGAAATGAATAAGTGGATTATGTCCTAGCTCAAATACCATCTGTTGTGTCATGTTCATATTATGAGCTCCTTTAGACATTACTTTCATAATTGTTTCCTCCATAGGGCCTACTGCAGTGCTTGTATATAGTAGGTGCACCATGAGTTCTGTTGTGAATTTATATCAGAATTTCCAGTTGAGTAAGAAACATTTCTAAAGCCCGAAAGTAAAATATCATAAATATTTTTAGTAGTTGTTCATTTTAATTTGCGATTTTATGTGTACTTTAGGAAATCGCCCTTACGTTTTCTTATCTGCTCGGGTACATCCTGGAGAAACTAACGCAAGTTGGGTTATGAAAGGAACATTGGAGTATCTGATGAGTAATAACCCTACTGCTCAGAGCTTGCGAGAATCCTATATTTTTAAAATTGTCCCTATGCTAAATCCAGATGGTGTCATCAATGGAAAGTAAGTTAAGAAATAGTTAATAGAAATGTTATAAAGTATTATGGCTGTCCTGTATAAACTTGTTGAAATAATAGTATCCAAGTTAATTTGGAAGACAAATCTTGTGATTTTTCTAGAACAAAGAAATTTTTGGTGGGAGATTCATCTACGATACATTTTTAAATGAAAATATATTTTGTATGCTTGTCGTAGGATATTTTGAGGAATTCCATATTTATGAGAATGTGATTTCATACAACGCCTGTGTGTCTTGCTTCAATTGCTTTAAGGAAATCGCAGCGTCAGGATATGAGAAAGGTTTTTAACACACACCCCTACATTTTCTCTTATTTATTTATCAGTGACGTGATCTTGGATCATCCCAAGTTAGAATCTCTGGGGATCACTTTACACTAACATGGAATGTTAGCACTATCTGCTAACCTCTTCCAGATGCTAGGAGGTATTGTTTCTGACAGAAGAAATTCCTTAGACTGAAATGTTGTCATTGTTGTTGGGTGTCATCGAGTCGATTTTGACTAATAGCAACCCCATGTGACAGAGTGGAGCTGCCCCATAGGGTTTTCTTGGCTATAATGTTTATGGAAGGAGCCCTGGTGGCACAATGGTTAAGCACTCAGCTGCAAACTGAAGGGTGGGTGGTTTGAACCTAGTAGCCACTCGACGGGAGAAAGATGTGGCAGTCTGCTTCTGTGAAGATTACAACCTTGGAAATCCTATGGGGCGGTTCTACTCTGTTGTATAGGGCCGCTGTGAGTTGGAATTGACTCGATGGCACATAACTACTGTTACTAATCTTTACAGAAGCAGATCGCCAGGTGTTTCTCCTGTAGAGCTACTGGGTAGGTTCAGCTGCCAGCCTTTTGGTTAGCAGCCCAGTGCTTAACCGACACACCACCAGGGCAGGGCTACTTTTAGACTGAAACGTTGTTGTTAGGTGCCGTTGAGTCAATTCTGACTCATAGTGACCCCATGAAGAACAGAATGAAACACTGCCTGGTCCTGCGCCATCCTCACCGTCGTTGCTGTGTTTGAGCCCGTTGTTGCAGCTACTGTGTCAATCCATCTCGTTGAGGGTCTTCCTTGTTTTCGCTGAGCCTCTACTAGACTGAAATACTGGGGTATAATTACTTTTGAAGTGGAAGTGGTGTATAGTTAGTACAGTCCGTTTGTTTCTGGTAATTAGACGAAGTCTTCAGAGTGCTTTTAAAAGGTGGGATTTAATCCAGCTGCCATGAGCATCTCCAAAGATGAGGATCCCATATTTTATTTATTCAATGGAAGTAGCATGAATATTTCTCATATTTTAGGAAATTATTGAATTTTTTAACAAATAAAACGATTTCTTTTTAGTTACTGTGTTATGATTATGGAACTAAAATGAAGTCTTATGTCTAAGTTTAATTCAGAAACATTTTGACCAGTTAGAATTCTGTTTATCGTTCTGTTACTACTTTCTGATTTTTTGCCTGAATTTTTGCCGAATGACTTTAATACTTAGTACCTATGAGTAAACGAAAATATATTTGAATTCGTCCAAGAATGCATATTTTTCACATACTTGTCTTTCTCAGAAGACATTTTTATGTAATAACTATTGCAATAACTATATACACTGTTAGTACAATAAGACCTGTGAAAGCTGGAACCTGTGTAAGGCGGACACCTGTGAGAGAAGGAAAACTCAAATATTTTCCGCTAATACAGAATGATAGAAAAGTGGTAAGACTGCATCCTGTCAAAGATGGGAAGCTTGCAAGACCCAGAAAAACAAGGCAGTCCCACTGAGTTCCAGCTCTCACGAGTTTCACTGTATAACAAATGATTATTATATAATCAAATGGAAAATCTGGCCGTTAATAAATTTTATAAATCATGTAACAAAACCTTAGGATTGAGAATTAGTTTTTTTCTATAGCTTGAAAATTTTGGCCTATAAATCTGAAAGCTTACCACAGTTAAATGTATATAACACAAGGTCTTGCACATAGTAAATGCCCAATGTTAATAGAATGAGTATAACGTACATTCGGTTGAGCCCACCATCCACATCTTTTTGAAGGTATGGAATAGAGTCATAAAATCAAACCAGAAACTTATATAAAGGTTTATTGGTACCAGTGTTTTTCTGTCATTGTCTCTGTGTTTATGCATGTGTAGCCATCGCTGTTCTTTAAGTGGAGAGGATTTGAACAGACAGTGGCAAAGTCCAAATCCAGATTTACATCCTACGATTTACCATGCTAAGGGGCTGCTGCAATACCTGGCTGCAGTGAAGCGTTTACCCTTGGTAAGTAGCAATATTTGTTTTCACGTTGCATAGTCAAAGAAATGTTTTTCTTGATTCATATCTTAGTATTTTGTACATTAGTTTTTGGTTATAAAAGCTAAATATTAATAATTGCAAAGCAATTTCTTTAGAATGTCTTTTCCTATTATCATTGTGTTTTAATTTTGTCAAATAAATACCCAAATTAATATAACATATAGAATATTCTTATTTCATCAGGTTTAATATTTATAATTCTCATAAGCCCTTTATTTTCATCAGTCTCCTTCTTGTGAATTTCAAGTTTTTAATTTCATTGTTTGAACAACAACACTGAGATAACAATATGTATCTCTCAAATTCTTAAATTCTGAAACCAGTAGAAGTATTATTTCTGAACTCTTTAGTCAGCCATAAAACTGTTAAATCTTCAAGACATGCATGGACAACATAATATATATTTTTAAAATATATATGTTTCTTCTGTTTCCAGCAGCTTTTGTTTAGAATGTTCTCATTATATTAGACTTTAAATTATTTAATCTTCCTTTGGGAAAGCTCACAAAACTTAAAATTGACATGTGAGTCCATCCTTTATTTTTCATTTTTAAAATGCTCTTAAAAATTAAATTTAAACCATACCCTTTTTTAGTTGTGTTTTTCATGAGAGTGTTTTTGTGTTCTTTTAAATTACATAAATGTTTTAACAGTCCTTCGGGGCAGTCGTGGCTGCAGTTGTAGATTTGAGCTATAACTGAAAATTTATTATTTTTTAAATGGTGAATAGTAGATAAAAGAAAGAGTGAACATTGTGGCTTGGTACAGGACCTTCAAAGAATTTATCAGTTCTAGAATTAATCATAGATCCTTTCCTAAACTATTTTATTGGTTCTATTTGTTAAATGGTGATTCTTTTATAATAAAAGGACTGTGGAACAGACCTGTTTATTGGCTTGATGTTAACTAGCTTTACTTGGTAACATATGAATTTGAAGTTTTTAATTTTTAAAAATCATCACTATCTTTTTAAGGTTTTTTGTGATTACCATGGCCACTCCCGAAAGAAAAATGTATTTATGTATGGCTGCAGCATCAAAGAGACAGTGTGGCATACCAGTGATAATGCAACTTCATGTGATATAGTCGAAGATATGGGATACAGGGTAATTATTACAGATTATTCATGAGTTTTTACATTTCGAACATGCACAAAACTACAGAAAAAATAATTTAGTATATACAAACTACCCAAATTCAATAAATGTTGACATTTTGCCATTTTTGCTTCAGATTCTTTGTTTTAAAAGTTTCTTCTAAAAGTTTTTGTCTTTGTATTTAGATTTTTAATCTGTTTGGAATTTATTTTTGTATGAGATGTGAGCTTCTAATTCTGTTTTCTCTATGGATAACCAGTTATCTCAGCACCATTTATTAAATAGTACATCATTCCTCTGACAGTTGTATAAAGCTGTTGCTATTATATATCATGTTCCTGTATGTATTTGTCTGTTTTGGGGCTGTCTGTTATTATTATAGTCATCATTTTGTCTTTCTCTCTGCATACCACATTATTTTAATTATTGTAGGTTTATAATAAGTAATGATATCTGTTAGGGCAAATTTTTCTTCCTTTAAAAAATTACCTTGGTTGTTTTTTGTTTATTATTATTCCTTGTGAATTTTAGGATCAGTTTGTGGATAAACTTTGTTGAGATTTGGACCAGAGTTGTAGTGAAACTTAATTAAATTGGAGAGTATTATTATTATTATGGTACAGCATTGCTATCTGTGACCAATGCTTATCACTCTTCATTTTTGGTCTTTTATATTCTTAGTAAAGTTCAAAAATTTCTCTACATAGGTCTTACATTTTTGCTACATTTATTCCTAAATACTTTGAAATTTGTTACAGTTGGGAGTGGGAATTTTTCCCCACATGTCTGCCTCCCCCTCCCCAAATTGATTGTTGATGGTACATAGGAAATCTATTAACTTTGTTCAGAAGAAGTTTCTCTAATTTTTCAGATTCTTTTGCAAAAGATTACATATGAAAATGGCATCAGATTTCTCAGCAGCAACACTGAAAGCAAAAACTTAATGAACAAATGTTCTTCACAATTCTCAGCTCGATTTCCCAATTATAATTCTGTACCCATCCTAGCTATTAATTAAGTGGTAAGGTAGAAAAAGGATGTTCTGAGAGGAGGAGCCGAGATAGCGGCTTAGTCAGATACCCCATGCCTTCCCTTTACAGCAAATACTCGAGAAACCAAGTAAAACAGATAACAGATGACAGTCCTGGAACCCTGAGCATCAAATGAAAGGATAAAGAATTAAATCGAACACTGATTAAAATAAGAAACTAGAAGCAGCAAATGAGGAGAGATACAGAGCAGAGGTGTACTGCCAGCTGGCCTGGCGCAGCATGGCTATCTTGAGACAAAGCCAGTATCAGTCTCAGGTGAGGAGCACAGGAAGGCAGTTTCACGGAATTCCCAAGAGGAGACAGGAAACTGTGTAGCCATACCTGAAGTGAAGCAAGGTGAGCAGGACATGAACCAGCTCTAAGGAGGGAAAGTATAGGAAGGAGGGCAAGAGCTCCAGGGATCTCGACATCCGCAGAGCAGAGAGGGAGACAGTACCCAGAGACAAGGCTACTCACCAGTGGTGGTCCCCTGACCATTGGGGTGGGAGGCACACACGGAGAAATAGATCTGTAGAGTATCAGCAGGAAGTCCCCCACACAACTGGATTACGGACAGCCCCCTCCTTGCACTTGGTTGGGGCCAAGACCCAGTTGCTGGTAGCAGCCAATGGGATGTGCTCAGGCATCCTCGCCCAGTGCCAGAGTAGCATACACCCCCTGCCCCCACCCTCCTGGTGATTAGCAGCAGGAACCCCCCCATCCCGACCACCAGGTACCACAGTACAAGCCCTCCCTTTCTCCCCCACCCAGCCCTGTCCACCACCACACTGCCCACCTGACGAGCAGTGGAGAGTGCACCTGCGCTACCGATTACCTACCCTGCCCCCCCTGCCCCACACTTGCCTAGTGATGCGTGAGCACTCCCGCTGTCCTGGCTGCTGTCTCTGCCCCTTGCCTGCCAACCAGCCAAGCAGTGCAAGAGTGCTCCCAGCCGCCCACCCCACCCTCTACCCACCCACCTTGTGAACCACAGAGAGCGCTCCCAGCTACCTGCCACACCCTGTCTGCCACCCCACCCACCCAGTGAGCGACTGTGAGCCAGCGCCCTCTCAGTCTACCCTCAGCCATTTTGCACACCCAGCGAACAACAATGTGGGCTTTCCCTACCTGCTGCTGCCCTGCTCACCCAGAGACAGGTGGTGAGCACCTCTGCCACTAGACAAGTGATCAGCGAAGTACACCCAACCCACCCACCCTGACATATCAGAACAAAACAGGACAAAAAATCAGAGTGAAGCAAACAAACATACGGTAAATTCACTAAATAAAATAACACCTTAATGCCTCAGGGACAACAGACAATAACAAATCTAGAAGAAACAGGATAAGATAGTTCAAATAAATGACCAAAATAAAGGGGCAGAAAGTCTTCCTGAGGAAGAAATGGTAATAGAACTACCTGATAAGGAATTCAAAAGACTTATATACAGGATCCTCAAAGAGATCAAGGAAAACACAGACAAAACCCTAGAATAATTCAGGAAAACAATACAAGAACAAAATGACAGATAATTAGAAACCATACAAAAACAACGAGAAATCCAGAAGATTAACTATAAAATATCAGAAATAGATAACTCAATGGAAAGACACAGAAGTAGAATTGAATCAATGAAAGAAAGAACTGGCGAAATAGAGGACAAATCCCTTGATACTAACTTGTTTGAGGAACAATCAGAAAAAAGAATAAAAATGAAACCCTAGGAGTTATGTGTGACACAATCAAGAGAAATAATTTATCTGTAATAAGAGCCCAGGCTGCTAACTAAAAGGTTGGCAGTTTGAATCCACCAGCTGCTCCTTGGAAACCCTATGGGACAGTTCTACTCTGTCCTATAGGGTCGCTATGAGTTGGTATCAACTCAGTGGCAACAGGTTTAATAGGAACTCCACAAAAGGAGGAAGAAAAGTACAGAAAGAATTTTTGAAGATTTATTGGCTGAAAACTTTTCAAGTATCATGAAAGATGAGAAACTTCAAGAAGCCCAACGAACCCCATACAGGATAGACCCTCCAAAAAAATCACCAAGACGTATCATAATCAAACTTACCAAAACCAAAGACAAAAAATTCTGATAGCAGCTCATGAAGAATGAAATACCACTTACAAAGGGGCTCAAATAACACTAAGGGCTGATTTCTCATCAAAAACCATACAGGCAGGAAGGCAATGGGATGACATATAAAATCCTGAAGGAAAAGAATTGCGAACCAAGAATCACATATCCAGCAAAATTGTCTTTCAGAAATGATGGCAAAACTAAGACTTCCCCAGGTAAGCAGAAACTAAGAGAATTTGTAAAAACAAGACCAGCCTTACAAGAAATATTAAAGGAAGTCCTTTGGATAAGAGAACCAACGACATCAGACAACAATCTGAGATAAAGACATGACAGCATCACCCAGATACCAACCCAGTAAAAGACTTCACAAAAGCAAAATAAAGCTAAAAAATTGACTACAGGGAATCAGAGGAATTAAGCTGTAAATGACAACAACTTCAAACCAGAAAGGGGAAATAAAAGATGTAGTCATAGAACTTCCATATGAGGAGGAAGTCAAGGTGATTTCCAGACATAATAGACTGTTTTAATTTTAAGAGGATGAGTGTAAACTTCAGGGTAACCACAAAGAAAAGTAATAGATCTACTCACCAAAATAAAGAAGAAATCCAAAAAGACTCAGTAAACACAAAAACAACTGTGATTGATAGGAAAAGAAAATCCATATACAAAGAGAACTCAGCACAGAAAATTAAGAGGAACAAAGAAACCATTAACACCACAAAAGTATAACAAATGACAACAGTGAATCGATACCTATCGATAATAACACAATATAAATGGATTAAATGCACCTGTAAAGAGATAGAGGATAGCAGAATGGATATAAAAACATGACCCATTAATATGTTGCCTACAGGAGACACACCTTAGACACAAAGATGTAAACAACTTAAAAGTCAAAGGATAGAAAAAAACCTATCAAGCGAACAGTATCCAAAAGAGAGCAGGAGTAGCAGTACAGTTATGCTGCATAACGTCTGTTTGGACAATGTCTGACTGCATACACATCTGTGGTCTGGTGTATGCCCTCCGGGAGATGCCCCCAACCTGACTTGGCAGCAAGCCCATTCCACTGCCCCCCACCCACGGGAACAGGCACCCTTGCTGCTGGGAGAAGTAGGCGCCCAGTCCTGCTCCCAAGCGCCCAAGGTCAGGAGGCATCACAGGGCCTAGCCAGGGAGGGGTTGCTGGATCGCCTAGACCACTGTTGTGGCCCGTGCCTGGAGCCTCCCTGCTGTGACCTTCACAGGGCTGTAGGGTGGGACTCGGCCAGACGCTCACCTGAGGTGTCTGCAGCGGGAGCTGCCTGGGCTGCGTGCCACATAGTAGCCCCCAGGCCCCACAGATCCAGGTGTTCACACAACATCCGAATCATATAACATCTTATTTCACAGAATGTATCATGGATGTTAAGTGATGCATGACTATATTAATGTTGGATAAAATAGACTTTAAGTCAAAATCCATTTTAAGAGACAAGGGCGTTATATAATGATTAAAGGGTTAATCTACCAAGAACACATAAAATAATATCAATGCACCCAATGACAGAGCTCCAAAATACATAAACAGAATTGAAAAAAGAAACATTTCTACAACACCACCACTTTCAACGATGGACAGAACAACTAGAAAGAAACTCAGTAAAGACATAGAAGATCTAAAGTAACAGTCAACCAACGTGACCATATAGACATGTACAGAACACACCAACCAACAGCAGTGCAGTACACATTCTTCTCCAACGCACACAGATCATTCTCCAGAATAGACTATATTCTAAACCACAAAGCAAGCCTCAATAAATACAAAAACACTGACATAATACAAAGCATCTTTTCAGAACATAATGGTATAAAACTAGAAAACAATAACAAGAAGAAACAGCAAG